ATTAATATTAATATATATATATATATATATATATATATTTATTTATTTATTTTATTGGAGGCAGTTTATTAAAAGTTCTAACACTAGAACAGTTAGAATAAATAAATAATATCATTTGTTTTAGAGACTTAAATGAGTAATGTCAACCTCAGCATTTTTTTTTTTCTGTTAAAGTGACACATCTTTCTGTCACTTCAGTGATAGAAAGGGACCTTAAACTATTAGTTTAAGGTTAAGACAATTAAAGAAACTTTCTGTCCATTAAAAGTGGCAGAAAAATTGAATAAGATATTAAATAAATTGTCAGCTTTATCCATTGTAGAAATAACTTTAAGCAATAAGGTGGATGCTATACTGAATCATATAGATTATTCAAAATCATACATCTTGTAAGAGCTTTTATCATCATTTTTGATTTGATGTTGACAATGTTGTGTCAATAAAAAATTGCTAAATCATTTTAACTTTTATGTATAAAATGAAAGAAGAGCAGATTTTGATTAAAATAATATATCAAGTCCTTATTAACATTACTTCATTATAGCATTGTTGGTGAAGATAAAGTACATTTGCAATTATTTATGATTATTATTGTTGAAATTTCTTTATAAATAGTAAAATTGACTTTATGAGATGGAAAACACTAGGGTTTCTCATTTCCTGGTCTTCTGTTCGTCCCGGGATTCCGGAGAAAAAATGAACTGTTTCCCAGGATCTCAGGATATAATTAATTATTTTTAAGATATAAAATATATCTTAAAATCGAATGAATAATTATCTTTCATTTTTAAGTAACTTAATATGTCCTGCAACCTCCAAAATAATAAATAGTATTAATAATGCTATGTAAAATATGTATAAAAAATTGCTTTTGAATTACATAGACATTTTCACACAGAAAAAATTTATTAAAGTTTGTTGGAAACTGCTGACAACAACAACAAAAAAAAATGCCTTTGAATTGAGTTGAAAATTTAAAGAAAAAATGAACTTAGATCAAATTTCTAAGTTAGAAGGTAATTTTTGTTTTATAAATAAAACATAATACAAAATATTATTGTAAATTTTTATAATAAGATTTTAAAAAGCAAACATGGTCAATACTCCAATCATTCAATTTGATTCTTATTTTACCAAAGAAAAGTCCTGCTATTGAGAATGCCCTTTCCAAATCAATTGATGTGGGTGGAATCGTCTTTAATGTATTTAAGAGAAGACAGATGTTATGTGTTTTTCACCTGTAGCCTAGAAGGTTTCTAGTTTGTTTTTGAGGTGCATTACAGTACTTCTTTTGCAGTCTAGTATTCTTGATTTGTCTACTTCGGCTGCTTTAATAATGGCATCAAGCTTCATACTTGTTTGAATCCTTGCCCAATTTGCACAACCTGGCATAATGCAGTTATTGAAGTTACTGGGCATGGTTAAAAATTAAGATAGCATAAGCACAATTATTCCAGATATTACAAGTAAAGAATTTTCAGAGTCCTGTCACAAATAGGCTACATATTGATTATTGACGATCTGTGACATGCCATAATCAAAAATTTAAAAAAACTAATAAGCAAGCTCAAAATTAATAAATACAAATGTGTTCTGAAGGTTTGAGTTAATTATACTTTCTATTTGCAAAATTTCCTCAAATTTAACACAAAATAAGAAAAAAGTGAATTTTTAAGAAATTTGCAGGATTTCCTGGGATGAGAAAAATTTCCTGCATTAAAAAACAGCCGGG